ATTCAACATATTTCTGGAGCAAACAATGTAGTTACAGACGCCTTATTTCGCATAACTTCCTTGAACAGTTTCCAAGGAATCGACCTTCATAAACTCTCCGAGCTTCAAAAAGAAGACACTGATCTTCAGCACGAGTTATTATCTACAACCCTTAAACTACGCATAAAACAGATGGGAACAGGTAAGGAAACCTTACTGTGTGACACATCTACAGGTAGGGATCGCACAATCGTGCCGAAACATTATCGACGCAACTTCTTCAATACAATGCACAAACTTTCTCATCCAGGTGTTCGTGCAACCATCAACCTTATAGCAGAACGGTTTTGCTGGCCTGGAATGAATAAAGACGTGAGGGAGTGGGCACGCTCCTGTGTAAGCTGCCAAAAGTCTAAGGTTATCAGACACAACAAATGTCCCTTAGGCTCATTTAAAACTCCCGATGCTCGTTTCGACCATGTTCATCTGGATTTGGTAGGACCTTTACCAGATTCAAGTGGATACTCTTACCTCTTAACCTGCGTAGACCGTTTCACTCGATGGCCAGAAGCAGTACCTATCAAGGACATCACTGCTGAAAGAGTGGCTCGCGCCTTCGTCGAACGATGGGTAGCAAAATTTGGCTGCCCTTCAACCATCACTACAGACCGCGGACGTCAGTTTGAATCTGAACTTTTCCGTTGTCTGACCACACTTTTAGGAATCACTCGCTTCCGAACGACCGCCTACCATACACAAGCAAACGGGTTTGTAGAACGTTTTCACCGACAACTAAAAGTTTCACTATCAGCTGCAAACGTTTCACAGTAGACTGATGCTCACAATTGATTGATCACTGGGTGGTGATCAATGTCATGCTTGTCTAGTCCTTATTAGTGCAGATCGAATGCTATCGATCATGTTGCAACGTGGCCACCAGTCTAGGTGACTCGACACTGCGGGCACTATGTATTGAGATTAGATGGTGGTTGGAGGTAGTCAACAGGAAACCCTGGACCCGGGTTTCGTGCTACTTGGCACTCGTCAGCAAGGTGTACCTGTAATCTCGAGGGAACTGGTGGCTCAGTGGTAACGTCTCAGACCGTGAAGCTGGGTGACACGAGATCGAATCCGCCAGGGAGCACCAGTTCCCTCGAGATTACAGGTACACCTTGCTGACGAGTGCCAAGTAGCACGAAACCCGGGTCCAGGGTTTCCTGTTGACTACCTCCAATCACCATCTAGACCGATGCTCTTCCACTCGTCTTACTAGGTATTCGCAATACAGTGAAAGCTGACATTGGATACACTGCGGCTCAACTCGTTTATGGAACGACACTTCGACTTCCAGGAGAATTCGTGAGTCCTTCATCCTCTTCAATGAACATGGATCTAGCCTCCTACACGAACAGTCTTACAAACGCAATGCGTTCAGTTAAACCTGCTTCCACTCGACCACAATCAACCGATGTTTTCATTCAACCTGATTTACGATATAGTACACACGTTTTCGTTCGTCGAGACTCGCATCGACGACCATTCGAATCAGCATACGAAGGACCTTTCAAAGTTCTTCAACGCGAACCGAAGTACTACATAGTCGATAAGAACGGAACAAACGATAGCATCAGCATCGATTGCTTAAAAGCAGCGTATTTAGGAGGAAATCCTATTCACGTTGACTTTCCTTCGGTACAATCGCACAACACGACTCCTACACTCATAGTTCCTCAACCGACAACCAACACTAACAATGATACTCCGAATGTATCTGAAAATAAACTTAAGACGACTCGTTCTGGAAGAAGAGTAAGATTTCCAGAACATTTAAACGACTACTACACGTAAGGCACTACTCGACATTTTATATTATCTCGATCTTTCTTTTTACGACATATAATGTTTAAAAAAACAATTTTAATATGCTTATATATTTATATTTTTATTTAAAAACAAACAAACAAAAAAATATTTTTTTAACGCTATTACGTGTGCTTGAGTTTATTTTCCTATTTTTTCGCCGACATTGTGTCTTTACGCACATACGAGTGTATTTCGACATGCACTTACATTTTCTTCTTCCTTTTCCAGGACGGCTGGAAAAAAACGATGCATCTCACGAGGAGTCGAAATTTTCGTTGTAACTTTGTCTTTTTTTACTATGTTGTACCTCGGTCCCATATAGTAAGGAAAGACGACCAAACGCTGCTAAACTTAGTAAGCTATCAGAAGAGTGTTTACCAACGACAAACTCGTTGGGTTTAAACTCCTGGCTGGCCACGTCTTAGGGTCGTCACTGCCCCACTAAGGGAGGGGAGTGATCTTTAGCGGCAAATAAATCCCCAAAATAAATAGCTCTGTAAGTTTTCGATATTGGATGCTGACCATATGTTTTAGTGGACTCATCTAGCTGAAGGCTCTCGGTCATGCATCCGCATCAGATCATGTGTGGTAACGCTGTGCTCAACATCAACCGCAATCGCTAGCCAGATTAGATCAGAGAATTCCGATATATTGGTAATCGCCAAATACACTCTTCCGATCTCCTCAACTCTGTCTTTTGATTTCTCTCGGTGAGTACAAATTATATTAGGTGTTACTGGTAAAAGCGTTGTCAAACACTGAATACCTGTGTCATCTTCAGTTAGATCTGTAACAGCTTATGCTGACTGGTTAGGAGTTGACCTAAAACTACTAAGCATATATCAAAACAGTGGAGTTCAAGTATTCATTCACTCCCTCGTTTTGTATAGGCGTTATATTTCCTATTATCTTATATTGAATGTTGAGAGGCTTTGTTTATCTGAACAGGTGATCCCACGCTCCACTGTGACCGAGCGAAGATCTATTTGAAAGCCTATTCGCCACTAGTCTGGTTTCTTCTGTCAATAGCACGAGGGTTACCTAAACGCAAGAAACATCTACCCTCACTCGACACTTATCGAATAAGATTTCTACCGGACTCGCCTTATTGTTAAATACACATGTTTACATACATCCTGATTCATTACAATGAGCCCTTGATAATATCAATCGAGTTCTTCTTTGTAAACTCAAGTACGACACAGTCGACAGGGGAAACGTCAGCATCGACTGGGTGGGAGCCACTTACTTGAAAGGCAGCTCTATAGTTAGTTACAAAATAAGGCGATTTTGAACAAAGTCAGTTAAACCTGAACGGCATCAAGTAGGTAGATTGATCATGAAAATAAACTAGCAATCAGTTACAAAACACAACCGTTTCTACTAATGCAAAAATATTATTGATCCTTTCGGGACAAATCGTGCTGATTGTTCAAAAAATGATATTTAGTTCTACAAAACATCAGCAAAAGAGTTCTGGGAACTGTGACCTTAATTACTTGTCACAACAGTGAGTGATTCTAATCCTGGAATTGCGTTTCACTTCACGACGAAATAATCTGTAGCGTGGCGTCGAGTTGTGATTAACTATGAACACCGCTACAAAGAAACACGTGCCAAGTTAATCAGAAGGCGAAGGTAGAACGTAACCAAATAAACCCATAAAATCTCCGAGAAGCCAAATACCAGAAGACAATTAATGGACCAAATCGAGATATATATTTGCTGGCGATCTCGTGGTATCGAAAGGATACCGAGATCGTGTCAGGATACAAGCTTGGTTACAGAACGCAACCGAATTCGCGCGAAGTTACAATCGAAGTGTAAGTATAAGAATGGAAGCACAAAATAGCTGTCATTAGCACAGTCAAACAAAAGCACGTTAAAACAAACACTGGTACAGTTGGTTATAATAATAATTGTTTTTATTAAACCAGTCGTGTTCTCGTGGTAAATGTGAGTCACTACAAATCCATAACTACAGTAAGTTCAGGCAATGTAATGAAAAGGAGGAAAAAGACGAAATAGTAGCCATCGTAACCCAGTTTTTTCACACAATCATCTCAGTTTTTAAAACGGATCCTAGATTGTTACTATCGACCTTCACATCCCAAACCCGAAAGTCACAGTTTCGATAACTGACACGCAACCTATGATGGTCAATGATCAAGTTAGAGCTTAGCCGACATCTAATACCAGTCTTAAACTGGTAAATTCCAGAGGAACTGTTAGGTTCCCAGAACACCTTAATGCTTGCTGTTTGAAGAACGTCCTAGCAATTTGTTCATTTATTATCGTTTCCAGTAATTTATAGTTGTTGGTTGCATTCGTAACTGGAAAAATTAATTTTAAATATTCTTACATGTCTGTATCTTTTTAAAAATGCTGCCGTTATTCAGAGCTTGGCAATGCTCTTGCACATAAAGCATACACCAACCCCGTAAAGTCGGAAGTCAGAAATGGAGTTCAAACATATATTTGAAAGGCTATTGGTATGTCGAGGAACGTTTGGTCTGAGCTAGCTAAAAGTTTAAGGGGATGCATAGCACGGCGTACCTACTCGTGAGCTGGTGCAGATGCGTGACCGAGTACCTTCAGTAGATTACATGTCCCGAAGACAATGTCAATCTAAATGGTTGTGTGATAGAACAAATATGTACTAGGCTGCTAGGCTGTCTACCGAGGCTAACCTTCCTGATGTTCAACTCTTACCTAGCTAAATCCTAAGGAAGCAAATTCACGACACAAATCTCCAAGGAGCATTATAGATGGGTTGCTTGTGGGTCTATTACTGAACTGGGGGATTTTGGAGAAACAATATTTCATTCTAATCACGAATAGTCTATCTGATATTATGCCACAACCAGGTCGGTAAACGATGACAATCACGAGGATGGTGATATTTAATCATGTCAACCAAAGGATTCGGAGAATTCGAGACGTAAGACACCAATGTTGTTTTCTACAGCACGTTCATCTACCTAGATTATCATGTTTGATATAGAGTTGACGTTCTGTTATTCCTTTTAAAAATACAACACTATTAATTGTGAACAAAAGTGGCTTCCAAATATCGTTTCATGGTGAAATAACTGTATCCGTTTGACCAAGGGTTTTACTGCATCAGGTTCATCTTTCTTTAAGTTCATAGGTTTCAGCGTCAACGCAGAATTTTGAATTTGACCTGGTGCTGCGTGCTGACCTCGCCTTGTTGGGTTGTAAGGACAGTAAATATGCACGTAAATGGATGCATGGGCAGCAATCTTTCGGACGTCTTCCCTTCACTTCCTTTCCAAGACTCAATGAATAACTCTGTCAATGGTTCAGTCTTGAATATAAACGGACCAAACGTAAACAACATTGATACTATGTCTCGACTCAAGTTTCTTGGCTTAAATTTGGGGAATAATAATCAGAATGGAAATAGTAACACCCTTTGTAATGAAGATCGCTCACGCACCAATTTGATTATCAACTACCTTCCTCAGAGCTACGACCAAAACGATCTCCAGCGTCTTTTTGAGCGAGTGGGACCTATTAGGCAGTGTAAGCTTATTAGAGACAAGGTAAGAGTATTTGCTTCTTCTTATTATGTATAGAACACGGGCGCTAGTTTGTGTTATGGGTTCGTAGATTTCGTGAACCCTCAGCACGCAGCTTTAGCAATACAAACCTATCATGGCTATGAGACGGAGCAGAAACGACTGCGTGTGGCGTACGCCAGTTCAGGTGGTCGTCGGTTCACACCAGGTAAATCTCATTATCATAAATAACGCCACAGGACATCGTCTCCAAACATTTTCCAATGGAACTAATTTCCCAGGTTCATTAAACTCTGAAGTCACAAATGAAAATATAATTGGATGGGAGATTATAGTAACTGGGATACCTGTAGAGTGGACGGAACCGGATTTACTCGTAGGTTGACTTGCAGATTAATTTATGATATCAGCGTCTCTTTTCTAATTTCGGGGCCGTTGTGGTTATTAGATTATTAGCTCCTCAATTTCCCGATTCACCGCCAGGTCAAAAGCCTCGTCTCAGTCCCGCTTTGAATGGAGCTTCAAGTGATATGAGTTCAGAATCAGCAGACACCAAGTTCACTTCAAGTGCATCTGTCATTTTCCAGGAGAAAAATAAGTAGGTTTGTGCATTTTTTTCATTTCGTAGTGCTGAACTTTCTGTTTTGCGCTTGAATGGTTATCAGGCCCCAGAATGGACCACACCGCTTAGATTGCGTTTAATTGGTTCAGTAACAAGAGAAACTTATGGACTGTTTTACTTTTCTTCGCGTCAGTCACCACTCCCGCTTAATCGTACAACTAACAACAACAGTAACGCCGATCCGTTGACCGAATCGAATATACTCACAAATGTGCTGAATAGACGGACGCTGAACACACTAGGCTGCGCTGTGCATGGAAATTCACAAAGTCAGTATATGGCAGAAACAAAAAACTCTGAAGTCACTCTAAACGTAGCAGTGGAATCTAGCAGTTCCCTCCAGTTACCGTCAAACCCACCGTTCGGCATCCCTCCTCGACCAATCATGCGAAACAAAAGTAAGATTAGTTTTTTGTTCTGTCTGTTTCACTACTAAATTTAAAAGTGTTGAGTGACTCGCATTAAGTGTTTCCGCAAAATTTTTGACCAGTCCTGACTCCTGTTAATTGGCGCCCGACGATGAAAGATTTTTTATTAAAAGCAGAATTTGACTCTGTAGACCCGGAGGTTATGTGGCAGTGTCTGCCATTGAAGTGTACTTCCGGTGTACATAAACCATATAGTCTATTTACTCGAACATTTTCAGTCGAATCATATCCTTTTGCGGACTGTCACCTGATTTTGCAACATCAAGTGATGTCCGGCAGGACTGTTCAATATCTCCATTATTGTTTAGTTTCGTCGTAGACCTGTTACTAGAAATAACGTCCTCACCGACTGGATTTTTAGGTATTGATCTTCATCCAGTAGGTTGACTTAACAACCTACACTACACAAGTGACAGTCCAGTTCGGTAAAGACGCTAATAAAATAGTCTTATGGTAACACTCAGCAACAATGCCAGGAGGTTTGAAATGCTTTTCACCTCCTCTAGGTGCAAACTGCTGCTTGGGGACCGGTTTGCATCAAGACCTGAATTAAGGAGGGGAAATGAAGTGATCGAACGCGTCGATCACTTCACTTATCTTGGAAGTCTGAACATTAGTAATGGTTTTATGTCTAACGAACTCTCTGCTCGGTTTCAAAAGGCTCGTTTGACTTTGTCAACTTACGTCATTCATGGCAAAGACGAGATATTCGTCTATCAATTAAGGGTAAGAGGTAAAAGATACTCGTGGGGTACCAGCATGATAGCGTCTTCTGGGATCACCAGGTAAAAGTAAGGTTAAACGCAGAGTATTAAGGAATAATGGTAAATCAGTTGATGATGTTGGTCTTCATTGACCGAGATAGTTGGGTCACGTAATACGCGCGCCCTGACCACCGATCACCACAGCATGCAATGCTGACGGGTGTTGGAGACTGATCTGAGGGAACCAGGGGCTACTAAATCAGAACGTGGTATCAGTTTTTGAAATCACTGGTCTGAGCCATGTTGGTAAATGCAGCTTACTTGGTTGGGGTTCGCGCGACTATCGCAACCAGTGGTTGTGAAGACTGAGTGACATAACCCAGAATCGAGCGGATTTAGCACTTCAAGTCATAATTCATACCTGTAAAATTAATAAAATCAGTTGAAATTTAGAACCAATCGCAGTTCCTTTTGTGTATAAATTATCCACATAATTATTTTCGTAGTCACTGATCACAACCTAACATCGATCTTCAACCGCGACGTCCTCTCACAAACCAGTTCGTTAAATGTCTTGGATTTCCTTGACGGTCACCATAATGCAAACTCACCAGGTTTGGTTGCTGGGGTTGATCGCTGTTCATCCAGAGAAATTTCGATAATTAACACGCTAAACTCCCAACGAACTGTCGACAATGACCAGCCGAAATTGGAACAGTCTCTCAGGAACTTGACGAATACAACGAGTCATTCTCCATGGCTGTTTTCCCAACAGCGGTCTGTACTTAACCCACTCCCGGAAACTGGACGTTCTGACGAAATAAACCCGAGTGCTTTGACAGCTGGAGTATGCAGGCGTTTGTCTGTTAAAAGTCCTTTGATACCAAGTCCTGTCTTGTCGAGTTTATTAACACAGCGGGGTTGTCAGATGAACATATGGCTCAAACTAGAAAATATTCAACCGACTGGATCATTCAAAATACGTGGTGTTGAAAATGTGGTTCGCAAGGTAAGTTATTTAGTACTTCATTTATCTGAGTTAGATATTTTGTATCTTTGTCAATCTATGTGAGGACCCGTCGACCGCAGTCCCCACCCGAGACTTCTCGTGGCAACCATAAGTATTACTACCTAACTTTTTAGAAATTAATGTAATAGATTCACCCGTTAATATATAATACGTAGATGATGCGGTCCCGAAAAGATGCTAGGTCCTTCGATCACGTTAAGCGACAATGCAAGCTTGTTTGAGGTGTTTTTCTACTTCAAATAAAATTTTTTTTCAAGATTGATCTAGGTTTTATGTTGCGAATAACTGATTCAATGAATAATTAATGTTAAAATCTTTTTTACTTCAATTCAAACAACCGTCCAGTGTATCTACCCTATTTAAGTGCAGCTAACATTCCGTTTAACAAGTTTTCATGTAACTGTGTTATTTGTCTTAAAATAGCACTTCACCTAAGTCTGAGGAGCCACATCCTTTTAATTATATAGTTTAAGCGATTATACTTAAGATTCTGTTGTTATTTTTACCAGTCATAATGTGCTGCTGGATAGTAGAGTGAAAACAGGACATCGAATTCAGTTGTTACTTCACTGTCAGATTCCTTGTATTTTATCAAATTGTTTATTGTTACTTATTTAGGGAGCCCAAGCTTCTGGTTTCCATTATCAGTAAAATAAGCTAACTTCTAAAATAGATGGATCCAGTTTAATTAAGTTTAGTTAACCTAATGGAGGGTACATAAATTAATTCGTTGTCACGTCAATCAAGTGAACAAGAAGTCACAACGAACACTAACACTAGTCCTCAGTAATAGTGTGACCAGAAGTGCTCAAAGTGTGGATTATTATGAGTATGTTTTGGACATATTTGAAAGTGTCATTTCACATTACTAACACCCAGTTTTTAAATATAATGGCTATCGCTAGAAATTGGTTGTCTGTGTCAAACAAAAATATACATCACGACAACAAAACAGTTTACCAGACCTTGTTTATTCACCTCATTCGGTTTTCGTTTGTTGATTTCAGTGGGCAGCCGCGGGAGTGACTCATATTGTCTGTCCAACTACTGGGAATGCAGGCATAGCCGTATCTTTTGCAGCTCACACTTACAGAATAAACTGTACATTAGTAGTTCCTGAGGCTCTTGAGCAAACTATTAGACGGCGCCTATCATTAGAGGCGCAGGAAGCCAAGATCGTTATTGGTGGCACCAGTTTCTTGGAGGCCCATCACCGCGCTGAACAATTAGTAAACGACCTACAATCTGGACATAATGATCCCACTGTCCGACTTCTTCATCCTTATGATCAGCCTGAACTATGGGAAGGATACGAAACTATTGTCGACGAAGTCACTCCAGAAATCGGTCAACCAGATGCTATAGTTGTCGCCGTTGGTGGTGGAGGGTTGCTTGCAGGCGTCATACAAGTGAGTGTCGTCACATTTTGAAACTTCTTCCATCTAAAATTTGGTATCCCATGTACAGCTTAATACTCCGAGGGTTAGCAATACTACCTGAATCAAAGTGAATATAGGTGCCTTGAATGTATGGTCCACTGACTGTAAACCAAATCATCTATCCTCCTGTCTCCTACAAAAATGTTTGTATATATCTGTAACATTTTTCATGTTATTTTTACTCACGATGTTAACCCAGTTCTATAATGCTGATACAGCAAAAATTTGTAAATTCAGGCTTCACATTCATAGTCAGTACATTTAACAACGAACTTCATAATTCAAATACGCTGGACAACTAAAATATCTTAATATATTTTTAAGGTGATGCCTTTTTATAAACCTTTTATCCCACAAATAAGTTTTATCCAGGGCTTATTCTCCGAAGATTTTCATGAGATATTTCTACATGTTTAGGGTCTGTGGAATAGAGGATGGTCTTCAACCCATATCGTAACTGTGGAAACAGAGGGAGCAGATTGCTTAAACCGTTCATTGAAATCTGGTCAGTTAGCAGTTATCCCACGAAGCTCAACGATTGCAACTTCTCTCAGCGCCCCAGTCTTGGCACAGCGTGCTTGGAGTTTGGCTCAATGCCATTCGATTAGTGCAGTGACCTGTACTGACGGAGAGGCAGTTGATGGAGTTAAACGTTTTTTGGGTAAGATCTTGTTTCAGTAGCTTCACACATTATTTCTGTACCCGTCCCGAACTTCGTATATTGACGATGACATTATTCCTGTCGATGATAAGGTTACCACTTTGAAGTCAGCCAAACAAACTAGGTTTAGAAGTAGACTTAAGTAGCCACACATTTCAAACGTCTGTCAGTGTTGGAAATGTACACGTTAACAAGTTCTGATCAAGAGCATTGGATGTCTTAGTCATACGAAAATCAATTTGTGTTGCCTTACACTCCACAAGACTAACATATTTCAACCATGTTGGTCAGTCAGCTTCAACGTAGGACCAGGCGCTTATAAGCATCAGTCCAAGTTGCCATATCTCTTGAGCACAGCAAGATAAGCATCAAATTCATAGAAGCTGTTACTTCAGTGGTATTAATATGTATAAACAAAGATTACATATTATGAGGACATGATACAAGGTTTAACCATGTCAATTAAGATTAATTGGGAACTAGCAGTATGTCACATGTAACCAATCCGAGTTAGTTGTGTAAGTTCCTAGTCGACCACATCCAGATAGACATTGTCATAGTTATCTTTGATAATGTGTAGCGTACTCTAAAGCACAGTTTCAAGCCTTCAGCATTTTCTTCCATCAAAATTCTGCCTTGTCATACCTCACTAATATGAAGGTTTTCTATACATTTCAGATGACCATGGAATGCTTGTTGATCCAGCTTGTGGAGCAGCACTTTCGACTATATATTCAGGCTACCTATCACGCCTACAACTAGAGGGTCGCCTACCTCGTCCCTCCAATGTTCTGATAATTATCGGCGGTGGACGGAATGTCTCTTTTCGTCAGTTGATTGACTGGGAAAACCAAATGTCTTCATTTGCTCCAGAACAAATTGCTGCATCTGTTTTACCGCCTTTATCAAGTTCTTACATCACTCACTTATCACCTCGTTCGACATGCCAAGAAATACCTAAATCTTCAGCAATGACTCATTACACGTCAGGGACTGAACACGAAGAAGGCAGAGTTGGGACCCCAACACCAAACACGCCGCGATCTGTGTGTGCTATTTTGAGCAGAACTGCAGTCTCCAGGTCTGATGCTGCTGACCACCACATGTCAGTTTGCAATGGACTGGAGGTCGAAAATAGTTCTGAATGCGCTGGTTCTTTAAATCCACACGACCTAATGAATTTCTCCAAACTCCTGGCCTCATCTGAGGCTGAAGGTGAAGAAGGTGGGCTACGTGAATAACAACCTTCAGATTAATCAATGTTAACCATGTTTTATTTTTACTTCTATATTTTGACTATAAACAGTTTTATGTTTTTCTGTTTTCTAGGCTTAGGTTATCTTGAATACCATATACTTAATTATTTTTGACTGCTTTTGTTTGTTTGGATTTTTCTTATTGAAATTGAAATTTTTAGACGGCTGCAACACGCGGACAAGCATTAATCACTCTTGATTTATTATTTGTTTATTGGATTTCGTATTCTTTTTTCATTTGGTGGTTATTATAGTCTTTGAATGCTGATCCACTTATTTGTTTATTTTAGTCTTTATTGTCTTATAGATATTTGTTTTGTTTACTCTTCATTAGTTTATAATTTGTTTCGTCATTTTGTCGTCATTTCCACTTATATTAATCTGTTTAACGCGCTGTTATGGTGTAAGATTCGAGGACTATTACATCCATATGAGAGAGAAAATACATCTAATAAACAAATAATGAATCAACAGAGATCAATGCGTGTCGGTCGTGCAAATTTGTTAGCGCATCTATTTACCAGTGATTGAATTCTCTTGATGGTTATCATGTCTCCCTACCTCACTTCATCTATTTTATGCTTCATCTTTCTCTGTAAACTTGGCCTATTTTTTCATTAAATGAGCATCATTTCATATAAATTAACCATTCCGTTCCTCTAGTTTATTTTCGCAAATTGATTTAGTTAATTTGTGTGTAACGCCTTACTTGAAGCAAGGTGGACACAGTCGCATTTGTTTTGTTTTTATCTTATGTTACTTATCTTTATCGTACTACACAATTATTTCGCACTTGTGCCTTTCTTTTTATAGTCATTGTGTGTTTTTATTATTTCTGGCAAGCAGCATTACTTTCTAATCTGATAGAGTACAAGATTTTGGATTTATTTACTCTATTGTATTTCGTTTTCAATAATGGAAACAATTATGTATGGTTTTGCTTGTTGGTTTTTTGTAGTCTTTTTTATTACCATTTACTTATAATGTGTATCACCTACATTACTTTGCATTGTTTTTTAATTTTCATTGCATAAATTTGTGTGTTGCAATTGCCGTTTCAGTTATTTTTATTTGGTTCCTAAATGGATACAAGCTAAGCTGAATAACAAAAGTTTATGTAGTTTGGCCTTAAAATCTTACAAGACCATCTGGGTTACAGATTTTCTCTATATTCAGTCCCGTTGTAAGTAGTTGACAATACGAGGGCCCTCTTGTCAACCCAGTGGTGTTCGTAGTAATTTTTCGGCTGAAATAAGTCGTCCAACTCATGATTGAATTTAGCTTCTATGTGACTGGTTTTGTTATGTTAGCATGCACAGAATGTCTTGTCGCAGTAATTTATGTAGCTGCCCAGTATTTTCATCAGTTTTGTAGATTGCTCTGCCTAATATGATAATTGAGTTGGGAAGTCCCATTTAATCCTTACTGGAGAAGACTTCAGCCAGGCAACTATAATTTGGTCCAGAAATCTAGAGTGGAGGGATGGAGATTCGTGATTACAAAACAGCAGATGACCGGGTGTTGTCTCCATTTTTGTTTATTTGATACACGGCGGGCTCAGTACTTGTAACAAAAATCTCATTGCAGGTCAGAAAGTCTTGGTGATAATGAAGAACACGGGTGTTGTACGGTTTCAGACTATATTCATAACCGAGCTGTAGGTTTAAGGATTGGTGGTATTTGGCTGTCAAACTGAAGTGGGTTGTGGGCCTCAGTCCGGTAAGGTTACAGAAAAATGTCAAACCTCTTCACAACTCTACTGGACAGATAGTATTGACTAAGTGATGTCTGTACAAAGCTAGGAGGGCATTGCAATGTTCACTTGAGATTATGGTATTTGAGCTGGAATGTATAATTAGGTGCCAAAAACAGGGAGTCACCATTTGTTTCTTTTGAACTATAGCAACGAAGACTGCAGAAGGCGGCTCCGTGTAATATTAGCACTCGTACTCATCTGTAGCGTTTCTCTAATGTGCTTTGGTTTCTCGTCGAATAGCTAATCTTCCCGATTACTGCTTATACTCTTATTGCCTCTACCACTACGGGATTTGAATCGACCACTGCATCTCTATGCTAATGTGGTGTGGCAACTCGAACTGATGTACGTACTTACGAAGTCCTACGTTGTTACTGACTGACTGACGTCGAATAGCTGGAAGCACGGCTAGGTTATAATGGGAACATCAATATTGTTCACATTCAGCAAGTGTGCGACAATTATACAACTGAACAATACACTGGCCTCCAACGGACACAGGTTTGTCGCTGACGTTTTGAAAATTAATTTCACAATCCATAAACACAAGTCATGCTGACTAAAATGTATTCCATCCTAACAAAATGTCGAGTTAAGTATTGGTCATTTTTATTTTATTCACTGGAAATATAGACCCAAATTCATCTAGCAGCCATGTAACGTTAAGCTGACATTTAACTGGTAGATTCAAATAATTAGTCGTTTGATCTATGTATTGATCGTCACAATTTATTCTTTCTTAATCATCATAAGCATTTCGAATTTGCCTATGAAAAGATAAGCATTATTCTTAACCTCTGGGCTTCACTAGTTTACACGTGTTCACGGGTACTTGTGTCTAATCCGTCCATAACCTAGGAGACCGTTACTATAGTAACCAACTATTCCAATGAATAAACATATTCATTCTCTTTTGTTGTGTAAAATAGGATCCTATTGTACACATGGAGAGACTTCATTTGTTTATGGTTGGCAATTTTGTCTTGATAGGTCAGTATTTTCAAGCTCGAATAATGAGTTTCATTCAACTCGTCACAAAACCCATTCTTAAACATTTACCAAATTCCAAAATAGTAACTTTAACGTTAAATACTAAATGAATACAGATTATTTTTCAACAAATCTAGGCCTAAATTTCATAATACAAATGAGACTGATTTTATATAACAAGTACAAAGGTGATTGGACACAAAACAGTCACCTATCTAGTCTAAAAGTTTGAATTAAATTTTAATAAAGAAGTTTATAGTATGACCGTTAGGTCAAGTGGCTCAATGTTACATTTCATCATAATTCTTATTTGTCAGTTGAATGAAATCGTTAGAAAGTCGTTTGAACATTGTCATTATGCTTTTATCAAGCCATGCTTGTAACCTCGTGGATACTCCCTTCATCACAAACCAAGACCGGTGTTACTCAGGTTCATTACTAGATTGAATAGCTTCTAATGAGATTATTAACCACATCACTATTTTGATCAACAAAATATTATTAGTATCATAGATTCGACATTTGTGAAAATTAATGCCAGCAGATGAAGATTTTAAGATTATTGGGTTTGTAATTGACATTGCGAACTGACTCTAACTAGACTAAATATCAAGGAGCATTAGTTGGCTGGCGTAGGGCTCTTCAATAGTGCACATTCATGATCCTTCCAGATATCGAACTTAAATTTTAGGGCTAACAATGAGTGAGTCACCTTTAGACCGGTGAATTGATATTCAGTGGTTTTCATATTTAGTCAATTTGCATTAATAATCGGCCACACCCTAGAAGTATTCCCAAAGCTATGATGTAAAATTACAACCAGTGGAGTTCATTCATACTGGAAGTGAAACAAATATTACTAATGCTAATCGATGATGGTCTATCAATTTGACATATTAACTGAACTCAGTAATAAGAAATAGTACTCCAAATCCATTTGTATAAAGATAATCCTACGCTGAAGCTCTCGGGTTTTATTACATATGAATTTGTCGGTACATAATCCTGAGGAGTCTAGTACTAGAACAAATAGCTCATTGGTTTTCGATGGTTTTCTAACTGAAGTCACTTCATAATATAAATAACAAATTTCATGCACTTATTCTTAAATATTGTCAATCTAATGGTAAGTATTCCAAATGTAAGATTATGTGCTTGATAAAATAAACCTGAAAACTGAAGGGTATAAATTTTTCAGAACACACAAAAAAATCTTAACTATCATTAAAATTACGTTCAGTGTTTCCAACCGATTACCATAATCATATGCTAATAACAATTTTTAAAAAGAATTCATTGATAATAACAGTGAATAATATTGATGTGACAAGACATAATGCTATCAACTCTTAATTCTCTAATATATTAATTTAAAATTATATTTGTAGATAATTATTCTTCATGTAAATTCGAAAAAATTGAAACTCACCTCATAGTTACGGATAATCTTTCATTATCATACACGTAAGTTCAAGTTGTTCACTTCTACTAAACTTTCAAAGTAACTTCGTGTATAATAAAGTATTAATATATTTAATCATATAGAATAATTCACTATATGATTTTATTTGTGTAAACTATATATTCGGTTGTATATCAGAAAGAATGGTTATTAACATACTACTTAATTACCGCTTTATTATTACTATTGTTATTATGTAGTATTGCTTCCTTTCACATTTGATTGATAATTGGGTGGTGACCAATTTCCCGACCGAAGCTGCTACCTTGACGCGGTGGTCGCGCTTGCCTATCGTGATGACCCAACCGAGCTATATTGGCTGGAACATATGTTCCTGTAGGTTCTATCATGCCAGGCAGGTCGTTTGGTGAACGGTAAGACTAAAAGCAGCAACTCAAGGTCTGAGGGCGAAGTCGTACTGCTGACTGTAGAGAGGTGTGACAGCAGTAAGGTGTTTCCCTCGGACAACCAGCATGACAGTGATGCTGCCTTCCCACAAGGAGGGGTGACGTTAGAAAAGGTCGACCCTAAAAATGTCACACCTCACCTTACCTCACGGATTTCCGTCTCCGGCGGTATGGCCCTTTGAAGAACGGAGCTAACACGTCAAAAACCTTCCACAAAAAGGCCGTGCGCGACCGGCCTCAAGCAGTTGTCCCTTGGGCTCTGCGGTCACGCTCCCAGGTCGTCAAGACCAACAATAATCCAATTTTCTTTTCACGTTCCTCAAGAAATACCCTTCCACGGTGTGGGCAGCCGGGAAGTGACATCAGCCCTCATACCCGTAACAACACAAGAGACCAAGGTGGTCACATTCAAATCATTCCTACACCTCCTAATACCTCTCTTATCCTCCCGACTAACCCTCCTCACGTCTCTTTATCACCTCGCACCGCTAGGGCAAACGATTCGAGTACGTGGAACGCCATTCCTGGTCTCCTGAAACTACGCTCTAAACTACACGTAGGAGCTTTTAACGTACGAACACTTTGCCAAATAGGACAGCAGGCTTCCTTAGCTAAAACTTTAGAATCTCGCGCCATCGATGTGTACTGCGTCTCCGAAACGCGCATACAGGATCCAAGTAGCGTCATTCATTTGACCTCACCATGCCAAAATAAATAACCGACTCGATTTACGCTTCGTGTATCTGGAAGCCTTGATTCTGCTTCCCGTGGCCTCGCCGGCGTAGGTATAGCATTGAGTCCCAGGGCAGAACTAGCTCTCTTAGAGTGGATCCCAGTAAACAGTCGTTTGTGCGCTGTCCGACTGAACGGAACAGTAAGAATCCGGAAAGATAGGGACACTCGTCGTTGCCTCTTCGTCGTCTCTGCCTATTCTCCCACTGACTGCAGCTCAGATGATGTAAAAGATGAGTTTTACAGAAAGCTTTCAGACCTTCTCCGAAAAGCTAAGCGCTCGGATGTAGTAATGTTGGCCGGTGACTTTAATGCTCAAGTAGGTAAACTAAGCGATAGGGAAAGACACCTGGGTGGATCTTATAGCATCATGGCTCAAAGAACAGATAATGGCGACCGTCTGTTGCAGCTATGCTCAGATAACCGCCCGTTTCTTGCTAATACTAACTTTAAGCATAAGGAAAAACATCTTTTAACATGGCGACCACCTAATTCGTCCTAACGTTGGACCCAAATAGATCACATCGCCATCAGCCACCGATGGAGGGGCTCGATAGAAGACTGTAGCTCATTCTGGAGCACATGCTTATATTCAGATCATGCTCTAGTGCGAGCGCGTATTTGTCTGTGTCTTACTGGACGTAGGAATGACGCTGCAAGAAGACCTCTTAGGGGCCTACTTAATGATAGTCAAGCAAAG